GTTAAGGCCGCTGGAATCCACACGGCCAAGTGAGCCGTTTCAGTCCTGGTGGCTGGAAAACGATGCCGGGGGGCCAGCAGAGGGCATAATAGTTACGTGACTGGAATCCCATGTGGTCGACCGCAATTTGAGTTCCAGACCCGGCAACTTAAAACTCATGCCAGGCACATTTGCTTGCGTGCCCAAGATCCCAAGAGGAGAATGGAGGAGAAGGGGTTACAGCGTGACCTCCCCCCTGGGGGGTGATTTCTCGCTTTCTGTTTCTCAGTCTCTCTCTGTCTCTCTGGTGAATGCATATACCCTATAGCAAAAAATCTCTCAAAACAAAAAAGAAAGAAAACGAAAATGATGCTGGATGGATGTGTGTGTGTGTGTGTGTGTGTGTGTGTGCGTGTGTGTGCGCACGCCTAACATCCCAAAAGAAAACTGGAGGAGAAGGGATTGCAGTGTGGCCACTTATCCTCTCTGTCTCTGTCTCTCTCTGATGAGCACACACGCTTTTATAGAAATTTTTTTAAAGCACAACTATACTTCTGGAATGGGGGAAGGGAATCGAACGGGAGCCTTCTGCGATCATGGCCGGTGGGTCTGCCCTGGCTGCTGCCTAACCGGTTTTCCTCGTGCAGGTACTTCTCCCACTTCTACGTCGTCTCGGTGCTGTGGAATGGCTTCCTGCTTTGGTGCCTTACTCAGTCTCTGTTCCTGGGAGTGCCTTTCCCACACTGGCTGCACGGTCTGCTCAGGATTCTCGGGGCAGCGCAGTTCCAAGGTAAGGGCTGCCCTGGCCCATGGCCACACAGTGTCCTGTGCTGTCACTCCGGATGCAGGCGGCAGCCTGAGCCTCTCAGGCCTGGGACGTGGAGGGTGAGAGCAGGAATCTGACGTGGCTGGGGCTGGACGTCCTTCGGGGGATGGCAGTGGGGCAAGCCATGTGCTCCGTCTCCTGACCTGCATGTGCCGTGCGCACTCCCCGTTCTCCGCTGGTGTTTCCAGCACTGTCGGTCAGTTTATGCAGAAACCCCCACACATGCGGAAGGGACACTTAGGATCCTGCTGGTCTGCCTCGCTGCATTTATCACGTACGCAGTGCCCACCGAAGTCAGAGCTCAAAACTCAGAAACAGGACAGTGAATTACCTCTGGGGGGACCAGCAGTTGGCGTAATCGCTATGTAGCCAACCACGGTTCGAGTCCTGGACCTGGTGGCTTAAACTCATACTGGGCACGTGTGCGTGCGTGCCCAAGATCCCGAGAGGAGAATGGAGGAGAAGGGATTGCGGTGTGGCCATTCCCCCTGGAGGTGATTTCTCTCTTTCTGTCTCTCTTTCTCTCTCTGTCTTTCTGGCGAGTGCATGCGCCCTATAGCAAAACCATTACGCTAACTGCTGGTCCTCTCTAGAGCGGTTTTCAAAATAAGACACGGCAGGTGAAACCATGAAGTGGCCTCAGTCACCAGCAGGCAGAGGAGCGGAGTTGGAAACAGATTGTCCCACTCCTCTCTGTCCTTTGTCCCAGCAGCCACGCACAGGCTCTCCAGGACAAATCCTATTCTGGATAACTGCAGGAGCTTGTTGCAAAAGATGACGGAAGAGAAAAGCCAGGCACATGATGTGGGGAGAGTCCCGCAGCAGATCCCACGTGCTTCCTGGATCTTCCTCTCTCTTTCCACTTTGCCAGAGGGCTGCCCTGACAGGAGGCAGAGAGAGTGGGAGAGGGGGAACATAAGAAAGCACCCCCTTCCGGGAGGAATGGCCATGCCAAACCCTTCTCCCCCATTTCCCCCTCCTTTCAGGATTTGGGGCACAAACACACATGCTCCCAGCACGATTTTCTGGCCACCAGGTCTGGGACTCAGACGGCACTCAGCCACGTGAAATCCAGCCTCCTTAACCACCAGGCTGCCATCTGGCCCTTCATTCATTGACTGGCTGGCATTTTGGTGTTTGGAGGGTTGGCTGTGAGTTTGGTTGTTTGTTTTAACCTGTTTCTAAAGAGTTAAAATTAGCTTTTAATTTATTTAAAATACAAAAGCAGGGCCAGCTGGTGGGATGGTGGTTGGGGCGACTGGATCCCACGCGGCCGACCACACGGTTCAAGCCTCAGACTGGCAGCTTGAGAAACCTGCTGGGCACGTGCGTGTGCACGTCCAACGTCCTGAAAGGAGGGAGCGATGGAGGAGAAGGGATGGCGGTGACCATGCCCCGCGGGGGGAGGGCATTTTCTCTCTCTCTCTTTGTCTCTCTCTAGCAAGTGCACATACCCTCTGGCAAATTAAAAGATAAGTAAAAATTAAAATACAAAAGCAGGCAAAGCCAGTCTGGGCTGATGCAGGGCAGGGTGGGGAGTGCCTTAAGGTAACTTTACCTATTCTGGTCATGTGCTGTCTTAAACCACATCCTGGTCGTATGGGAGGATGGGTTGGTTCCATCTGGAAGGTTCTCGAATGTAAAGCCCAGCTAAGAGACAGGTGCCTGCCTCAGCTCTGTCACTAGCTGACCTTGGACCCGGCACTTCTACTTCATTCGGCCTGTATCCTTACCGCTGAAAAAGAGAAAGGCATCTGACTGGATCGTTTCTTTTCTTTCTTTAACATGGAGAAGGGGGGGTAAGAAAACAAGCCACCAGGTCCAGGACTCGAATCTCGGTCGGCCATGTGGAAGTGTCTCGCACCTCAGCCACCATGCCGCCTGCTGGTCCCCTGATGCTCTGTTTTTGTTTTGTTGTTGTTGTTTGTTTTTCTTTTTTTTGGAGAGGCTTTTGCTATAGGGTGTGTGAGCTCGCCAGACAGAGAGAGACAGAGAGAGACAGAGAGACAGAAAGTGAGAAATCACCCCCC